GGGTGACCCAGGGATGTGGCGCGATGAGCGATCGGACTGCGCGGGGCCGGCGCTGAGACCCGCTGAGAGCCACCGGGGGCCACCGCTCCAAACACTTCACCCCCAGAGCCCGCCAGAGCCCCCTCCCAGCACCGCCGGCACTCCCCCATTTCGCCCCCTCCCGCTCCCCGAGCCCCGGCAGCACCGAGCGCATCCCACCTGCGCCTGGACCACACACGCTCTCCTTCTCCCTTCTCCCTTCTTCTTCTCCTTCTCCTTCTCCCTTCTCTCTTCTCTTTCTCCTTCTCCTTCTTCCCCGCCACCGCTTCCCCGCGTTTGGGTACCTGCCGTTCAGTGCTGGCGGGCGGGTGTAACAGGAGCCGTTCCCCGGACGGCCCCGTGACACCGAGGGGGCGGTGGCGGCTGCGGCACTGGGCGAGAGGACAGGGGGGACTTCGGACCACGCAGAGCTTTTTGCCAGTCCAATTTGGGGGAGGCTGTGGGGTCCCCGGACCGGCAGGAGGGCAGGTGGGACAGTCCTGCTCAGAGGGTGGTGGGTGAGCAAATCTCCCCGGTAATACCCCTGGGTTTGGGTGTGGGTGGCTCAGGAAAAGTAGGGAGTGAAAGACTTGCCCTAATCGTTTTAGTGGGGCAGAAGCTTGTGTGCCCTTATGAGGTTGTGAGCTGTGCTGGCGGAGGTATGTGCCCTTCCTAATAACCCCCAGTGCCTCCCAGATCCTCCCAGCGTGCCCTGGTGCCCTCCAAGTGCCCACCAATACTCCCTAGTGCCTCCCAGCCCAGATCCAGTGTTCCCCAGTGCCCACCAGTCTTTTCCCAGTCCCCCCCTGTGCCCTCCAATGCTCCCTGATGTTCCCCAGTGCCTCCCAGTACCTGTGGGGGGCAAGGGAGGGAAATGAGTTCCCCTGGGATGGAACAGGGGAAGGGAAGGGGCTGTCGGTGCCGACTGGGACAGGAGGGACAGTGGTGGGGTCGTACAAACTTTAATGCAAATGGAAAAAAAGGAGAAGAAGAGAGAAGCCCAGCAGCAGCACTGATATAGTAACTCTGCTGAGGCCACAATCAGGACATTGTACATTCACATGCATTGATTCAAGTAGCATTCACCAATGGAAAAATACTTCACACGAGCACATTCAGGCACTCTAGTGCTTGAATACAGTGCATGTAGTGTAAACTGTTAGAGTATAAATATAAAGTAAATATAACTAGAGAATGAGGAAGACTTCTGGAGAAAGAAACCCCTAGTCCACGAAGGCACACATCCACTTCCACATCATGTCCCTGCAGGTTCACCTCCTTGAGACCAGCTACTGAGGTGACAATGACAAAAGGCACTGAGGTTACTGAGGTAGTGCTGAGATGTGTCACAAAGTAAATGTTCATCTGTGGAAGGACATCCCTGGCCTAGTGGAAGAAGGAAAGCTGTGAGTCTTCAGGATGGAGAAGGTCCTTTCTCCCTCACTTCCATTACAGGTGAGGTTGGGGTTTGCTGCAGAGATACGCCCGCTCTGTTGAACAGTTCTCACTCCTGAGTTTATTGTCTGCCAGGTACACACACTCTGAATTGCCAAGGACCTCCAGCCTGCAGTGAGGAGCAGAGACAGCGCTGTTACAGGGCAGGTCTGTGAACAGGACAGGTTGTCTCTGCCCATTTCCCCCAGCAGATGAGGAGACCAGCGCTGCCCAGGAGGGACAGTCCCAGCAGCCTCGTCCCCCCCATCCCCTGCCCGTCCCCCCGGGACTCACGAGGAGTTGTAGCTGCTGCCGTCCACCCACTGAAACCTCTCGCCCCATCTCCGCAGCCCGAGCCAGTAATCCAGGTTGCCACTGAGGCGGAAGACGTGGTCCTGGGAGGCAGAGAGGAGGTGGTCCTGTGGGGGAGAGAGAGGAGCGGGCAGTGAGAGCTGCCCCGGCTCAGGAACCCCCTCAGCCTCCCCTCTGCCACCCACACACCCCCCAGAGCCCCTCACTCACCATTTCCTCGTCACTGAACACGGCCAGGGAGGCCCCGAGCTCAGAGCATCGATTCTGAGCCTGCTCCCAGGTCCTCAAATCCCTCAAGAGGTAGTAGCAGATGCTGTTGTGCTGCTCCCAGTCGTCAGGACAAGCCGCACACTGTGAAAACTTAAGTGCAACTGGAGAGACAAAGGGAGACAAAGAATCTGAGGATTCCCCTCCACACAGAGCATGGACCCCAGCCCTGTGCAGAGGGGTTGGGTGAGGCAGCTGCTCCTCCCTTACCTGCCAGCACAATCACGATCACCACTAAAACCAGGATCACACACAGGAACACAGCCAGCACTGGGCAGGATCTGAACCAATTGCCTAGAGCTGGAAAGAGACAGTGGCAGTGAGGATGGAGCTGTCCTGAGCAGGCCCAGCCCTCACATCCCCCCAGCCAACACCAGAGCAGCCAGAAGTGTTGGCACCAGCCACTGACGGGGTGAGAGGTCTCTTCCAGACCCCTGGAGCAGCCTCACACTTGCCAGCCCCGTCCTCATGGGGCGACACTGTCCCCTCCCTACAGGACACAGGTGGTCCTGCACTCACCCTGACATTTCCCGAGGATCATTTTGTGTATATTCCTTTTTTCTGTTCCATCCCGGAGACTCAGGGACTCCTCTGCATTCTCATCATTCCAGTTAGAAGAGGCACATTCCTGACCAGGACAAGCCCCATCTTGAACCTGAGCCATCGCTAGGGGAGAAAAAAACCTCTTTGAGTGCAGATTTAACACCACTACAGATGTTTGCCTGGTGTTCCCGTGACCAGGAACCTGCGACTCCTGGTGCTGGGAGCGGGTGAGGGTCAGAGTGTCGTCCATGTGCCCCTCCTGGTGCAGGATGGCCTGGGGAGGGCCCGGGGGGGTCAGAGGGGGGACCTCAAATCCTCAGGGACCCCCTAGGCTCCCCCAGATACACACAGACCCACAGGGACCTCCTCAGACTCATAGCGATCCCCCAGAGCCCCCATGCCCCTCCTGGTGCAGGATGGCCTGGGGGGGCATGGAGGGGTCAGAGGGACCCCCGGGGACCCCTCCGAATCCACAGAGACCCACAGGGACACCCCCAGACCCACAGGGACCCCCCCCAGGTAAACAGGGACCCCCCAGAGGCCCCCACAGTCCATGTGCCCCTCCCAGTGCAGGATGGCCTGGAAGGGGGCATGGCAGGGGGTCAGAGGGGCTCCCCACATCCTCAGGATAATGGGTGGGTCCGTTGATGTGAGGTCAAGGCAGAGCTCCTGAAGAAGCTCTTCCCACACTCCCCACACTTGCAGGGTCTCTCCCCGGTGTGGAGAGTGCTTGACAAGACTGGAGTTCTGCTTGAAGCCCTTCCCGCAGTCGGTGCCTCTCCCCTGTGTGTGTCTGCTCATGCCTGAGGACATCTGAGCTGGTCTGAAACCTCTCCCCACATTCCAAGCACTTGTAGGGCCGTCCCCCACTGTGGATGTGCTGATGTTGGATCAGGGTGGAGCTGTCACTGAAGCTCTTCCCACACTCCCCACACGTGTAGGGCGGTTCCCCAGAGCATTGTGTCAGACTGTAGAGAATACGTAGAGAACAGTCCAGAGAGGGACTGTGCCCAGCGGCTCCTGCCTGGACTAATGAGTCACTGCTTGTAAACTGTGCCGGGGACCGGAAAGAAAAGCAGCAGCGCGGTAGCTCCAGCCCCGGGATGGCAGGATCGCATCTGTCATTCGATCCAAAAATGGTTTGGGACGGGAGGGACCTTCAAGCCCATCCCATCCCCCCGCTGCCCCGGACACCTCGCGGCAGCCCCGCTGGCTCCAAGCCCGGTCCCACCTGGCCGGGAACACTCCCGGGGACGGGGCAGCCAACTCTGTCCGACCGGGAGGCACCGGGACGATCCCCGACGGGGGCGCAGGGTTGGGTACAGGGACAGCCCCGCCGGCCCGGTCAGTGGCTCCCCGCGGTGCTCCCTCCCCGCCCCCGCGGCCGATGCGGCGCGATGAGCGATCGGGCTGCGCGGGGCCGGCGCTGAAGCCTCACCGAGAGCCACCGGGGGCGGCCGCTCGAAACACTTCACCCCCAGCGTCCGCCAGAGCCCCC